CTTACCGGACAAGATTGATAAATTCGCACTAATACAAACGCAAAACTGGTGTAAAAATCATCATCTTCTGACATTGACGAGTTGGAAGAGCAAATACGAACGGCGAGTTCGCGCTACCAAATTAGACGTTCATCTTTAAAAGTGATGAAAGAGATGCGTGTGGTCACAAGACGAAGGCCGTTTTTGATAAAAAGCATAACAGGCGAATGTAAAGTAAAGTGAAGAACAATGGTGTGGTGCAGGTGCACATCAAATAGAGACTCGAACATGTCATGGGTGTGGCAAGCCTGGTGGCAAGCCTGGTTATCTTAAGCGAGACTGTCTAGATGTAGTTGAGTCGGAAGACCAAAAATCAAAAAATCGCGTGCCATGTTTACTGTTCAAGCCTCACCTACGACACCAATTGCCCTTATCGTAATTGCTGAAGAACCTAAAGATCATTCGATCGATATTATCGTTAAGTAGTTCGAGGATCATCCGGTAAATGAAACTCCGTTCGATATTGTTGGCGAGAATATAAAGGACAAGGAACTACAAACGACATTACCGATACACTATCACTGGTGCTTCGATACTGGAGCAAATGTTCACGTCACAAGTCTTCGCGAAGCATTCGTGACATGTGACCCCGCTCCACCCGATTCGAAAGCAAAATTGTCTGGTATAGCGGCGGGCTTTAATCTACAGTTGCTGGAGTTGAAACTGTTTTAATTGGCACTAAGGTGGACGGCCAAAAGCACTGTTTGATGTTAGGCGATGTGCTTCACGTTCTAGATGCAAAACATGGTCTATTTTCACCTGTCAAGGCGACCGAGCACGGCATGGACCTAAACTTGTCGACGAACATGGAGCTCGTGGTATCTCGTCGAGGGACTGCGCTTGTCAAAGCAGTCTTCTCTGATGAAATGTAAGGATTTTCATCATCAGACATGCAAGCGACAAAAATGAGTAATGATCCAATATCTAGCGCACGTCATGATAGTACAGCTGGTGATGTGGAAGTGCACACGCCTGTTCAGTTTGGACTTGTTAATTTTCAGTGGCTGCTGGTCAAGCTCCAATGAAACAGTGGCATGAGAGATTGGGTCACACGTGCGATCATTGCTCAAAGAATATGGCAGACAAAGGGCACGTAGATGGTATGGTGACAACAGAACGTCCCACGACGACCTGCGACGCGTGCCACATCGACAAGCAGCGACATAAACGACAAAACAAGAAAAAGGATCGAAAAATTAACGCAGTAAATCAAGTCGTCTATGCATACTTGATCTTTCCAGCGAAGAACAACGGCACTCATCTCACTGCGATACTTGTGATAATGAATGGATTCTCAGGTTATTTGACGGTCTATCTTTTGAAGCGTAATGACGCGTCGACCGTTGCCCACTCATGAAGGCTTACGTCCGTTGGGCGAACGACAGGCAGGTCATTCAGTCAAGAAGATCGTGGAAAGAAAATGATAGCTAATGGCAAGAGGGCCAAATCTCCAGGTACATGCAATACTTACTGATAAAAGGGAGAGTTTGTCAATGGTAAAATTGATTCGTGGTACCAATCACAGGGGATTGGACATTTCAGTCGGCCCGAAGAGCTCACACATGAATCCTGTCGAGCGTCAACACCAGTCATTGGGAAACATGGCGAAGACGATGCTTCGTCATGCAGCACTACCAAAGATTTTCTGGTCAGACGCAATAGAGTATGCCGTATGCTTGAAGAACAGAATCTACAACATGATTGTCGGATGCACACCATTCGAGAAAATGTCTGGAAGGAAAGCCCGACATTCACCACTTGCGTACATTTGGATCTCTAGCATATGAACATATGCCGAAGGACCCTGACCGACCAAGACATTTCTACAATGCCTAAATTGAATTTCTAAGCGGTCTGAAAGAGGATCATGTTGGATACAAGGTTATTATTCCAGCAAAAAAAACGCAAGTGGGCACCGGATGTAGATATTGATGAGTCCATACTTTATGGTGACCGCAACCTTTTTCACGGCTATCGCTTTGACAAATTTTACTTCTCGGACGTCCCAGCATAAGACTCGGACGTCACGACTGAACATGTAAATCACCCCTTGCGCGAAGATGATTTCTCCACGGGTATTGAGGCGACATTCACGGGCGATACGCTAAATGACATCATCAGCATTGGAGAAAGAACGCAATACGAAGATTACGAGGATCAATTCACCGCCGAACATGGATTTCATGACACTGCAGACGAAGACGACGTGGACCGCGACTCAAACACCGGAAATGACACTGAAACGTGTTTGTCCATTGACACCGACGACGAAGCACATGAGGGACACAGTGTGGACACTCCTGACGGAATAAGTCTATCAGCTGTAGGTGATCTGTTACGTGATGAATCAAGTGTCCCAGGAGCACTCGACGATGTGTCGACACTTCGAGTAATGGAGCAGCGACAGGAAGTCGAACAAGCCGTATTGGCCGCTCAAAAGCGTCACGATCGGGAAGAAACACCGTCAGCAGAATCTGGAGGCGCCCCAGAGAAGCGATCAAAGCGCACAGGCATCAGGGACCGTTCTCTACAGCAAAAGCCAAACCCCTTGATGACTATATATCATATGCTACGCGTACACGCGTACATGACAGCACAGGAAACCCAATGAAAGATACATATGTCAGAGTTCGGAAGAATGGAAGAGAAGCACGGCGCTCAAAGCATGGTGATCAACGGTATGCCGCTCAGCTAGACGAAATGAACGGTTTACGAGCTACAGAAGTACTGGAAGAGATCCCACTTATTGATAAGACGTCAGACGTGAAAGCGATTCGAACGATGTGGGTTTGGTGCTTGAAGACGGACCAATATGGGTATGTCACTAGATATAAGTCCCGATTGGTTGCGCTCGGAAACCGGCAGCGACCAGGATTTGACTTTATGGAGACATTTGCACCGGTTGCGCCGATGTCAAGTTTTCGACTAGTGCTAGCGCTGTATGCTACTCTTGATTTGAAGATTTTTGGTGCGGATGTCAATACCGCCTACTTGAATGCCAAGTTGCGGATGTCGCATTGGATGTCGATCATCGGTGGATCGATGTGAGAGTCACGCTTGTATTCGATGCCATGATTTATTGTACCAGCTAAATACCGAAGCACGCGCTTGGGACAACCAACATGTTGCTTCGATGGCTGAGCAACAAATCGGCTTATCTGACTAACAGCATATGCAGGTTGTCTCAAGCGCGTGCTTCGGCATTTAGCTGGTACAGTAAATCATGGCATCGAATACAAGCGTAACGCTCACATCGATCCACCGATGATCAACATCCAAGGGTATTGCGACAGCGATTGGGCCTCGGATGCTGGAGACCGAAAGAGTACTGGAGGATATGTCTTTACGCTAGCAGGAGGTGCAATTGCTTGGTCAAGCAAGAAAAAGCCTATCGTAGCCCTTTCCACAGCTGAAGCCGAATATGTTGCCGCCTGTGAAACAACAATGGAGGCAGTCAGCGAGCGAAATGTGATCAGTGAAGTCTTCCCGACAGTAAACATGGAGGTCAGAATTGGCATCGATAGTCGAAGTGCTTATAAGCTGGCCGTGAACCCGGCGTACTCAAAGCGCACAAGACACATCGAATTGCGGTGGCATTTCCTGCGAGAGCAAGTCAAGCTAAAAATGGAAGTGTTTGAAAACGTGCCCGGTGAATCGAACCCAGCAGATGCTTTTACGAAGGCACTCGACACACGACGACTTGCGCGTCTATCCAACTCGATCGGTGTGCGAGCCTAGCCTCGAGGGGGGCGTGGTGTGGAAAGTGTAGCAGTGTGGTGACAAGACTCTCCAGACGGTAAAGCTGAAGGGTGAATGCCCTTCGCATACTACAGAAGGATTCGATGGATGATATCAGCAGACAGTGAAGTCCCAGTATGGGAAGGAGGTGTTGATGTAAACAGACTGTGAAGTCCCAGAGGGAGGTTGCTGCAGTTAGTACTCTGGGAGACGACGCCATATACATGTACTAGGAAGGTAGTAGTTTCATATTGAGATAATGAACGTTCAGTTCCAAAAACTACGTTAAGGGCGGAAGCGGGCTCTCAACACAACACTGTCTCGTTACTTTGTGACATACTACAAGGCAAGTAGTTTACTACACTCTTTTGACAGCTGCCTACATTCGCCGCAACTAATTGCGAAGCAGGAACGAATAAGCGAAATCATGCTCGATTCCATGAATATGGTTTCCAGAGGCTAAGAACGCTCGGCTACGTTATTGCATGGTTTACACTATTTTCACACCCTCTGTAGCATACCTTGTTACAGCAAAACTACTGCTTCCACACAAATTGCACAGTGCCTTGCACTTCTTCTCAAGCATTGCAACAAAAACGGCGCGAGGGGCCTCGCCGGAAGAGGCAGGTCACGCCAATCGTGGTACCGAGCCAATGCAGCCTTGCACAGCGCAAACTACTTTCCAGAAACTAAGTAGAACATCAATCGATGAAGGTGCCTATGGGGAGGGGGAACTGCCGGTTCCATCAGAAATGGCGCACGCAACGACTAAGTGTGGCTTTATCCTCAAAAACGTACAGTCGAGTATGCAACTAACCCTTTCTCGTGATATATCTACCGATGCAGTTTACAATTCAGTCACTGAACGCGATCGAGTTGCATATCTAATAATGGCAGTATGCCAAGTGCTGGAGTTGTTTTTGGAGAAAGAATGATCACGGTGTATGCAATACGTTCAGCCCTCGAGTTATTATGTCTACAAGTCGTCCTGTCCTCGACTACATCGGTGCATCGGCGTGTGACAACCCGTCTGTAAAACAGCATGACTGCGATTGGAAACGAATCACAAGGAATAGAAAGGTATTAAATGATCGACATCTGCACAGACTCTGTAAAAGAAATCCTCCTCTTAATCGCGCTTACAATTACGATGGCGCAGCAGATTGTTATCAAATTCGCAACCTCGAATGAGTTCCACGCGCATTGTATATCAGCCGTGATAGCTATGGTGTAGCCGGCAGCCTCGAAGCTAGCTCCTTTTGAAGAAGAGGGGCGCGGTCCGTCATGTCATGTCCTTCTCCAAGCCATTCAACAAACCTCTCCACTTCAACCTTCTGTCGCTCATCCAGCAACACATCGATCACCCTATCGTCGCCGAAGTCGAAATTTGTCAAGCGGTACTTGTCCACATAATCCAGCCAGCGCTTGAGCCTGTTGAAACTAATGATCTTCTTGTTTGCATAGGTCGGTTTCGTAAAATAACTCTTTCGTATCATGGACATCAGGGGGTAGACATCTTTAGGATTCACATTGAAGTCCAGCCACACATCGAATAACTGCTGTAAGTTGCCTCCTCTATCCAGATCATCCTTAGCTAGCCTCCTCAGCATCATACTCGCGAGTTTTCTCATTTCCTGATTGCTTCGAAGCCACGTTAAAAATCTCACCACGTCTACTGGTTCTCTGCCAATCTGTAGCACTTTGGCTTCTTCCATTATGCTGTAGGCAAGCCCTCTATCTCGGCGCAACTCCATGTAGTGCATCCACTTTTCTAGCATATGATAGCTGGCGAGCAAGCTTGACTCTATTCCTCCGGCGCCCTTCCAACTTCCACCCGACGGGATGTTCATCATGTGATAAGCATCTACAGGGCCCACCCCTGCCTCTAGCCACACTTCAAATACCAACGGCGACACCTCTGGACATTCGGCAAGAATTCCTCTTTGCACCGATTCAGCGCGGCTTTTCAAGGGGGTACCTCGAAGCCAGAGAAAGTATTTTGCCATCACTTTTTCTTGTCCAGATTGCCGCACTTTCTTAATGAAGTCATCATTGCGAAAGGAATGGCCAGGCTTGTCAGCTTCAGAAAAGCGCTGGTGCAGCCTAGCATAAGTGACGACCTCGTCTATCTTCTCCTCGACTGCGGAAGCCGTTAGCGCTGTGTTTGCGTGTAGTTGTCCCTCCAAAACATGCTTTATACCCAGCACATCCCTCGCATCCACTAGAGAATTCCACATACCGGCTCTCGCCTCATCTTGTTGCCGATGTTCGCCGTACACTGTGTCTTCCATTGAGTCTTGCTGCGCGGAGCGTTCCGGCTCGACGGACTCGGTCTTCGCAACAAAAGGAGGCAAAGAGGACAAGTTACGGGCAGCAGCGTACGTCCGCATACCGCTCGATGTCACTGACTCAGCACGCGTGTGCAGAAGGACTGTGCACACCGCGAAGTAGTAGGGCCAGAGCAGACGCATTGCGTTTCCGATTTCGTCTGAACGGCGTGCGATGGCTACAGAGCAAATGGTTGAATGGATACGAGCGCTGCACAATTTTCAGTCACGTGGTGTGGACCACGTCGCGCGCCTTTTGTACCTAGAGGAACTGTGCGCTGTACCCATCGACACTGGCCCTCGACCGGATGTTTTGGCTCGACGGAAGTAAGCAAGTCTTGGACGAACATGCGGGTACGGGAACATAAAATTTGGTAAAAACGCTTCCAAGAAAAACACGGAGCACAAAAAGCTTGACTAAAGTGTTCTCTTCGCTTAGGTGCGAGAAGAACGAACATTTTGTGAGCTTTCCTCCCGATATTCCTTCTCGCGCATTTCGTATTTAAGAAGATCTGGCATGTTCGTATTCTACGCATTAGATTGGCTGAAAATCGCACGATTCTACACAGCCGCACTGAAAATTTATTGAGCTCAATCGCGAAGATATTTTCGGCACTGAATACGGCCTCCGCCCGCGTTTGGTGAGCTTTCGACACGCTCGAAGTACAGCCGACAGAATGGCGACCACATCAGGGGTCAAGAAAAACACAAACCTACGCTCGTGACCACCGCACAGATCATATCGATTTTCAGCGCAGGACTGCTCACAAGGACTTCCTAAGAAATCATAGGCTCGCCTGAAGTCATGGCAGAACCACCTTCTGCGGTCCGCCAAGCAATAGAAGATTTTCAAGCCCTTGGACCCTTCGAGATGGTGCCTCTTTGACCAAAGGAGACTTCGTATTTATTCAAATGGCGTGATCGTGTCAAGTACACCGAGAACAGAAAGGAGGTCTTCGCGTGGGCTTGTTTGCCCGACGAGGCGTGTCGGATGTCGGGGGGGAAACTGTTCAAGCTCTATACTGGAAAAACGACCATGGCCGTAAAGCATCTCCAGAAGATGCACAACGTTGGCTCACTGAAAACGGAGACAGTGACTTTCAAGAAGCGCAAAGATGACCACGATTACAGCCATCTGTCATAGTCTGTCCTGTATTCAAACAATCCAACCCGGCTAAACGTGCTGATGACCACTATCATGATCATAAATCATTATTTGGCGTTTCGTATGGTGAAGTACGAGGAGGCAAGAATTATCCAAGCGCTACTCTAAAAGGAAGAGATGAAGGCCAAGATGACTACGAAACAGGTGAAGAATTCAATTGTGGAGCTATATTCTTCAACACGAAAGGAAGTCAGTAGCTACCTTCAGGAGAACCGAGAAAACTATCCGAACTTTACGCTAGTGGCTGATTTTTGGACTTGCAAAACAACGCCAGACAAGTTTCTTGGGTTGCGCGTATATCTGGTGTACAAAGCCTGGCACTACAAGTCAATACCTTTTGTAACGAGAAAGTTTAATCCGGCATATGGAGATCGTGATGGCGGCATTTTATAGCCCTTCATGGGGTGGCTGGAGCATTTATTCGAGGACTTTAGCTTAGTGACGACAAATTTTTATGGGGATACGAGTGACTCAGGAAGTGACGTAAAATCGATGCTTTGCAATAAACATAATCTACACTGGGAGTGGTGCTTCGCACACATGACTAACGCAGCTACGAAGTCTCCATGTGTTGTAACTGAAGCTGCTAGTGCTGCATCTAACCCGGAGACGGCGGATTTGATATCACGGATGATTAAAACGATCTTTCAGGTCAAAGTGGTGTCTGTAACCGAAACTTATTTTCCGAGCTTTGTAAATCTAAGGCTAAGAACCCCTCCACGCGACTTGTTGAATATTCTACTTCACGTTTCCTGAGCATGACGCGTTCATTGAAGATAATTCATGAGAAATGGCCTGCAATGAGTACGTGTTTCAAGAGCGAGCTCGTAAAAAACTTCGTGTCAGCCAACTATCACCAGAGTTCCCGTTGGCTAAATTTCATGACGACTTGGTTCATGTTTCGTCTGTGCTCAAGCAAATTGATAAGATCAAGCAGACATGTCAAGCAGAGCGTCCTGTTCAAGTCGAAGTGCTCGTAAAGTTGTATATGGCGCGTATTCACGATCTCGACCCTGATCAGCCTTTGCCACACTATTAATCAGGCGGCAAAACCCTCGATGGATCCCTGCAAGTGACCTTACACCACCGGCTGCGAAATCACGGAGGCAATTGCGAGAAGCATTGGACGAACGCTTCGTCAGCAGCTATTACAATGACAAGCTTTTTCGCAAATGCCAATTTGTACTTGAAATGCAGTTAAACTCCACCCTACATACAAAAGGACGGAGCGGAATCTCGATCGTGCAGTGATTTCGTCGTGCCGTCAGCATTAAAAAAGCGGAAGGGAGGCTATGATTAGGAAGAATGATGTGGACGCAAAAACCCGAAGCAACTTATTGGACTTACTTAAGGCTGTAAGTGAACCCGCGGAAGTCTTAGTTTTGATTAACACCCACCTGTTGTCCACCTCAGCCGGATGGAAGTAGAATTTGCGCCGAGATCAAGTCGACCACCAAATATAAGTAGGCAGGATCGACGCGCAGAAGAGGAGATTGATCGATGGCTGGAGGATCCTGTTGATGTTGCACGAAATGAGGACTACACACGAAAGGCATCAGTACTTGAGTTTTGGCAAAGACGCGAGCACGAAGGCGACTACCGTATTTTACCGAAAACTGTGAGAGTGCTCTTCTCAACACCATCGTCTTCGTGCCAAATTGAGCGTGACTTTGGTGTAAGCGGGCAGATGGTATCTACACAGCGCACGACGTTAGCTGAGCTTAACATCGATATGTGCTCATTCCTTAACAGGTATTGAGACTTTGATGACTTACTGCAGTGTGAGGAGATCTCAAAAGGACAGCATCACTTTCACACACCTACCAGCTATATCTTTCCATCGACGAAGATGTGGACAATGACCTAGACGAGATGACAAGCGACCTTCTGGAAGAATTTGCTAATTGTATGTCACAACCTGACAACCTCGAGGAAACGAAGTCGTAACAGCACAAATTTATAAAATACCAACATTCACGTATTACTCGACAAGTATCGTTGTTCTATCTGTTTCGCTCTCACTTGAACTTGAAGCTGAAGGTCTGACACGAGTACACCCAATTTATTTTCTTGCGCTCGATGATGAAGATAATTTGCAGGATCTCGATTGCGCAATCGAGGTGGCCGCATTCGCACGATGCTGGATGCTGTCGGCCGAAGTAGTGGCAATGATTCTTTATATTCTCCGGCTTGTGACAAACAACGATCCCCTGCAGCCGCGGCCGCATAAGTCCTTACATCCATCACGCGATTTATCTCGGGAGATGTCTGTGAAGACGGAGTAGATACGGTTAATGTTTGTAGCTCTTGATCCTCTGTCTGCGTCGCAGCACTTCTCGACACCATCACAACCGTGTGTTGCTGTTCCCTCTCCGACTCTATATGCACCTTAGACTCATCGTCAAGGCTGCTAAATAAAATGCTTTCTCTTTTAGGCCCTTGAACAGGAGAGACAGGTCGTGGTACATGTCGATAAGAATATTTTCATGCCTCTAGCATATTCTTCTCTACTTCAGTATCTCCGTCAGAGTCTCCTTGACCGTCGCTGGTCCGGTAGGGCTCGTAGCGGGTCGTTTGGCTTCTCGGGCTCTCATATTCAGACTTCAGCTCACTCACGCACTCCATATCTGTCTCGCAGAGGACATCAAAAGCCGACTGCGAGCTATGCTCAATGCTGCATTGAGAGGACTTGGGCTGGATAGCTGGTGCACAATTTTGTCGCAACGAGTCGTAATTGGAACGGGGCGCTTTTACTGCATATCGTTAATGCACTTATTCACCTCCAGTTTCGCAAGACTTGCAATCGTACCTATAAGGCAATCAATGTTTTGCTGGCTTTGCCTATCCATACGCGCACGATTCGTCTTGACATACCCACGAATAGCCATTGTCGCGTCCGCTTGACGTTGCACTTGTAAATTCATCTCCGCCTGCATTTTCGTTAGCATTTTGTGAATGCGTGTTTTTAGTTGACGGACTTCGTTCGTTGATGTTTATGCAACACAATCACGAGCAAATTTGTAGAGTCCCATCCACATCGCCAGCGCACCGAAACAGCTCATCGCAAATTGTATTGCATGTCTTTTTAAGGTCTCGATCATCTGAATCCCATATTGCAGATGCAACTCTTTCCATCGCCATATTCACTTCATGTTTTATCATCCCGCTCGTCTCGTGATTGGTGCTTTTTCCGCGAGAAGTTACGTTTAGCTTGCCATCAAAAATTGCTAAACGTATTTCATTACTTCCACTGCAATGCCCTCTGTCGACATTTTCACTCGCTGTTGAACGATCTGCGCTGCCTCTTGTGTAAAAAACTGGTTTCACCGCGAACCACCGTAAGCTTGTCATCGACAAGTTAAAGCCCATACTCCATCACTTTCGCCGCAACATGATCGGTGGACTTCTCCAATGGTATCGGTATCATCTGTGCTGTCTTCGTTTCGAGATTTTTTATAATGGACCTGTCTTCGATGAGCTTTTGGACTTGCTCCATCATCCGCGATATAGTGCCGTCCATGCTGCACTCCATCAGCATCAACTTCTGAGAGACTTCGTTTTGTACGTCTTGGCTCGCCTGGATAAGTCTATCACTAAAGTAGATGTCGGTTTGACCGCCTCGCTCATCTTGGACGTTCTGCAGGTGCTGGATTTGTTAGCGGAGGCTGACATGTGTGGCCGTCAGCGCTTCTCCGAGATTCACAGCAATTTCCCGTTGCTGGTTTGTGAGTCGCCTTACGCTGGTCTCTGTTGAGGCATGCACAGCCATCAACGCGGCGTTCTGGGCGTGATTTTGCTTTTCTTGTTGGTACTGCAGTACAGCATGCTCCCTTGCTAACACCTGGGTCTGGAGGAGTAATTGATGAGCGAGCGCAGCGACGTGGTCTATGACTCTGGGGCCGAGTGCTTGATCAGAGACGACAAGCGCTGCGTCTCGGTCACCACCAGCGGCGAAGATCCCTCCGTCGTCTGTATTTAT